TCTCTCTCTCTCTCTCTCTCTCTCTCTCTCTCTCTCTCTCTCTCTCTCTCTCTCTCTCTCTCTCTCTCTCTCTCTCTCTCTCTCTCTTCACGTCAAAGCTTGTATGCCTCCCCTGACAACACCCCACGCAGCTCTTCGCATCCGCTAACCTGCCGCTGCAATCTCTCTTCGCCCCTCTCTCCTTCCTTCGAGAACATTCTAGAACCTTCAGCTTGTCTGAGCAGTAGCCCACGTGGGTGAGGATCAACAGGTGATAGCCTTCGATTGCACCTGAGCCTGCTGTCTCCGTTAACTACTTTTGGGTGACGACAACATAATTTTTCTGCTGACAAGATGCATTTGCGTGTAGTAGTCGTAACCATAATGTGGGGCAATACTCGCCACCCCTCTCCCACACTCAAACTCTATGCATTTGGTCGTACCAGATCAGAAAAAGAACTACCTCTCAACGTGAGCATGCCCTCAGGGCGTGGCCCGCGTGGGCATCGCACTGGCACTTTCTTCTCCGTATTCGTCGACAGACTCGACAGGCGAGCATCCCCTCCGCCTGTCATTGCCTCCTCTGGGGACTTGGACGGCCAGGATCGTCAGTGTCCATGGTCGTATGATGAATCGACGATGACGGAAGCATAGACGCCAATTGCCCATCTGGTTTTCTTGCCCAATCGAAATAGTCGAGTCATGTGTAGTATTCTATTTTTGGAAAGCAGGCCAGTTTCCCAGTGTTCAAACCGGCGTTGGTCGTGGGTAGGCGAGCGAGTTAGCAAGCAGGCGGGGGCTGGCGCAGGAGTGGGGGTTCTCACAGGAGGGGGAGGGTGCCATCCCAGACTTGCTCACGTGGCTGTTAGATACGTGCTGACGTGGCTGTCTGAGACGTGGTGACGTGGTTAACACGTGGCAACGTGAGGTGGTGACGTGGCAGTTTGACACGTGGTGACGTGGTTGTTTGAAATGAGGTGATGATATGCTGACTTGGCTTCTTACGGATAACATGCTGACGTGCAATGTGAAGGGCATGACGAAGGGTTACCCTCTGAAAAAAAATCGAGGCCGGTCGTCTATAAAAGAAGAAGGAAACGGGATTCAACCCGGATTTCGTGAGGCGGATTTTCCACAAGTTCGATTGGAAGGCCTGCTGCACGAGACGGCGCTAAGCCTTTATGTAGACGAGCTCTTAGAGCAGGCCGAGCCGTCGATGCTGGAAGATGAAACGTTTCTTCAGAAGGCTCCATCACGTCCTGCTTGAGGTGAATCTGGAGGAAGGCCTCGTGTTTGTCCTGAGACAGGGAGGCGGTTTCCTGTGAGCAAAGTAATACCGAACATGCTCCTCAACGAAGACGAGGTTTAGATAGCACATACTAAGGGTGGTGCGAAGCTGTGTCGTTTACCGCCTCATTCTCTTGCTTGTCATTGCTTGTCCAGTGTGTCAGATTGTTGAACGTAGCGAAGACGATAGCAATGGAGGGAATGCAGCTGGGTTACAAGCCAAAACACAAGTCCGGGACAACCTCTGCTTCCCCTGTTTCAAGCTCTCTCTCTCTCTCTCTCTCTCTCTCTCTCTCTCTCTCTCTCTCTGTGTGTGTGTGTGTGTGTGTGTGTGTGTGTGTGTGTGTGTAAAGAGGGAAGGAAGGAATGCAAGGAAGTAGGTAGATTTTAGGTCAAAACTTGAGCAAGCGTCGTGCTGACAAGTGCATGGCAATGGCTTGAAGCCTTGAAGGGACCTTTGCGAGATACCAACGGACTTGGTAGGTTGGAGTTGCCGGACGTAAATGTACGTGCATGCAGTGCATGTCTTACATCCCTCACTTTCTGAGGGCATACTTAACACTAGGACTTTTTCCTACTGGACGTGATTGCCGTCAGATGCACCCAGTTGGGCCGTAATCGTTCGGAAAGTGCTGTAGTGTGAGTATGCTCCCAGTTAAGCGCAGGCGCAAGGGAGAGATGTAGAGAGACCAGGTATACTGAAAGGGCAGTTCAACTTTTCAACTTTTTTGGATAGGAAGGGCAAAATCAGTCCTGGCGCACAGCAGGAGCGCCGGCAGGATGCGTAATGAGCGTACAAGTCGAGACGAACACACCTTTATAGGGTGATGCAGAGCGAGGAGGACGAAGACCTTTCCGTGATCATGTGAATCTTTGAGTGATTTGGTTTAGCTACTTCAGTATTTGTGAATCTCTGTTTGTGGATCAGCTTAAGCAACTAACTGATCGTGTGATTGACCAACAGTGAGCCGCCTGTCGACCTTCTTCTTTTTTTGTTTTTAATACAAAACCATCCACAATGACTGATGATGTTTTTTTTAATATTGTCTTTGATGATGTTTTTTTTTTTTTTTGTCTTTCCTTTTCTTTTCCCCTCGTGCTGTCAGACGTTGGTGATAGGGAACTATCTGTTTGGTTGCCTTGGATTCGATCGTTTATCAAGGCTTCAAAAACAAATAAATGCGAGGCACAAGGCCTCAATAAACTCTACCGGGCCCCTATTTGCACCAGGTCGGCCGCCCTCAGTGAAGGCAGGCTCGACAGACGACAAGAGGCCTACTTTGGACTACTTCGCAACTGGGGGAAAATTCAGGCAGTTAGGGCTCAGGCCTGTAAGCTAAACCGGCTGAAGCTGCCGGGATAACTCCGGGTAGATTTGTGAGGTCCCCGGCCTCAACCCATGGTTTTCTGTTGGAATATAAGATGGAAGAGGTTTAAAAAAAAAAAAAAAAAAAAAATCAGGCAGTTGTGCAGGGCCAGTCTGTTGAAGGCGCCCAGGCCCTGGCCTCCTTTATCAAATGTATCTAAGTCAGGCCCTGGGCGAGATATGCAGCATGGACCCAACTCAGACTGTGGGCAGTTGGGCACGGGTAACTGTAGGTGGCCCTGGGCCTGATTCGTTTGGACCGAGGCTCAGCCTCCCTGGGCCTACCGGAAGCTTCTGGGCCGGGGCCCAGAACCGCAGCACAGCACGCAGCAGCAGGCCACTTCGATATAGGGAAGGGCCTGCCCATGCATTGGACATGCGGGCACTGGCTGCATGCTGGGCAAGCGCTGCTGCCCTAAAGATGGCCAGCGCTCACGCACTCACGGGCGAGCTGGAAGGAGCAGGCAGCCATAGCAGAGCTGCGCTCCTGTATGCCAGATGGGGCGCATGGTGGTCCTTGGGTGCAAGTGGCATCTGTGAGTTGGGGAACGAGGTTGTGAGTGATACGAGAGACATACCTGGTGCTTGAGGCGTGCGGCATTGGCCGAGATCTGCTCGTACTTGTGACGTACTAGCTTCCGGACCTGCGCCATCTTCCGACCCCTTCCCTCCCCTTGTTTTTGTTGCATCAAGATGTGTCTTGCTCAGCCCCCGAAAACCCTCTCTGTTTTTTTTTTATTAAAGGTACCTCGCTGAGATCTGTATTTTTGTCAGCACTAGTGGTTCTTGAAATTCCGTCATTTTTGTAATTTGGAAATGCATGGGATGATGGGAATTACGCGAGCCTTAGTGAGCACACTCGGAATTTGGCTCGACAGTTAGGAATTCCAGAATTTATGGACCTCGACGTGTCCTTTCACGCGTGAATGTTCTCGGCCTCGACATGTAAAACTCAGGGAATTTTGTAGGAATGTGGATGGACGTAGGACTTTCTTTCTTTTCCCGCACCTACTTTTGAATTGGCATAGGACTGGGGAAAACTGCAACTGTTTCCGTGCCCATTTTCTTTGGTTGTTCGGCGCCATGCATATGAGCTCCCTCCTCCTTCCTTCTCGCGCTCCTCTCAGCACCCTCCCTCATGCACACGTACTTTCTCGCTCCCTCCCCCTGTAACTGTTTTCTCTCTCTTTCCCCGCACGCACCCTTTTTCTCTTTCTTGATCATCTGAATCTTGGACCCGTTTCGCGCTATCCTTCGCACTCTTCTCCCTCCCGCTCTAAATCCTGCGCCCGAAAACCCGGACGATCCTCTCTTCAACTCATCCAGCCAAGGAGAAGCGTCGTTTAAGAGGAGATCCCTATTGCGCGACGATTCTGATTGGCTAAGATCGGATTGAGAGGGGTCAACATGGCTTTCGACGAGCGATTACCCTCAAGCCCTCCCTCACCCTCCTCTGTCCTACCCTTCATCTTTCCCCGCATCTATCTCCCTTCTCGCAACTATAAATTCCGCAGACGCATCCGCAAATCTCTCTCGTCAGCCAGCTTCCGGAAAGCAATGGCTAGATGGTGTGTGTGTGGTGGCAGTGGTGCGAGTCGAAAAGTCCCGACGGCCTGACTGTAGACTGGCTGGCTGTACGCCTGATTGCCACGACGGACTGTGGGACCGAGGCAAGCCCGTGCCGAAACTGAGTCGGCGGGGTGACGATCGCAATGGTTGAGGGTGGCATGTGATGGCCGGGACCGTCGGTGCATGTATGAAGATAGTGACCAGAGTTGGAT